CCTTAACAAAATTTTAATTAATTGCTTAGATATTTTAAAAACAGATTATTTATGGTGTTTTCCACTTATATGGGTTGTTTTGTAAAAAGAATTTGGGTTATTTCTATTTTTTTTCACTAGATATTTTAAAAGTAGATTATTTATAGTTTTATTAACATATAGGGGTTGTATTTTGTATTTTAGAAAATTATTTCTATTTTTTAGCTCAAAAAAGCATGCTTTTTCATTGCCGTATCCAGCGGTTGGTCTATTTTTGAAGCTTTTTAAGGATAACTGGTTTTGTACATTAATTTTTTGGTAATTGTTGTGTATGTAAATTGTTAAATATCTGTATGTATTTTGCATGTTTTTTATTATTAATATGTAAATATATATTTGTATATATAGGACATTAACGGTGCAATTAAACAGAAATTGACCAGTAAATATGGGCTGCGTGTCGTGACTACTACTGGGAGGCGACACAACAACTGGCGACGAGTGTGTGGGAACCGTTTCAAGTGCTCTTTCACAGGTGGAGGAAAACAGAAATATAAAGCGGACGAGAAGCAAACAGTATGTCTGGATGTCCAATAATTGTACCGTTCTGTTTCTTCGGGCCAGGAGAAGAATCCTTTGATATTTTCGTTCAGAGGTTCGAAGCAGCTTTAGAGGCAAATGCATTGGAAGAGGGAAAAAGAATGCCCATCTTTGTTTCTCTTCTGGATTCGGAAATGTTGAAGCTGGGCAATGATTTGTTTTTCCCGAGTACCATGAAAGAACAGCCGTATGAACGGTTAATACAAAGAATAAAACTACATCTAGCTCCAAGAAAGAAGGTGATTCCTCAACGATGCAGGTTCTTGAAGAGAATACAACTCGAAAATGAATCCGTCTCAGAATACCTGCGTGAGCTCCGGCATTTGGCTATGGATTGCACTTTTGGTGAAATGTTGGAGGTCATGTTACGAGACCGTTTTGTGGCTGGTATAAAATCGGAAAGCCTTCAGAAGAAATTGTTACAGGAGGATGACGATGTCACCTTGGACAGGGTATTTTCTATAGCAGTCTCGTTTGAGCTAGCTGAAAAAAATGCTAAGGAGCTGCAGGATGGACTAGTGGCTAAGATGAATATTTTTCCGGGAGGAAATAGAAAGAATGAAGCTCGTAGAGGATGGCAGCATGGGCCCGGTATGCAAAGAAGGGAGACAATTTGTTTCCGATGCGGAGAAAAAAACTCTCACCTGGCACCTGCATGTCCACGTAAAACAAAATCTTGTTTTAAATGCAAGAGAATTGGACATTTGAGCAGGGTGTGCAAAACGGGTAAATCAGTGCCAGACTGCAGATATGCGCAGGACGAATTAATTTATTCGGTACAAGGTGATACTGATGCAAAAATAAATCTACATGTTGACGAGTATCAGTTGTGTTTTGTGGTGGACACAGGAAGTCCCGTCACACTGATACCGAAAACAATTTATGAAAAATACTGGAAAGATGGTAAATTGTCTCCATCTTATTTAAGATTGAGGTCCTTTTGCGGAAACCCAATAAAAATTATTGGTGAGAGAAGAGTTTTTGTGAAGGAGGCAAATCAAGATTTGCGGTTGATAGTTGTAGATGAAGATATTTCGATAGTTTTGTTGGGACGAGAATGGCTAAAAGGTTTAAATCTTGATTTTTCTAGGTTATTGAACATTAGACAAGTAAGCGAGTCCGATATCAAAGTTATAATAAATAAGTAGGCTAATTTATTTAGCAAAGAATTAGGTTGCTTAAAAAACGTCCATATTGATTTTTATTTAAAAAAAAAATACGACTCCTGTATTTTGTAAGGCGAGAAGTTTGCCTTTCTCTTTGAAGAAAAAAGTAGAAAATGAAATCGATGGCATGGTTAACGATGGAATTTTACAACCTATTGAGTATGCCAACTGGGCCGCACCTATAGTACCAGTACTGAAGAAAGATGGGAGCCTTAGAATTTGCGGCGATTTTAGATGCACCGCAAATAAGGCCATAGAATTGGATAAGTACCCGCTTCCATCAATAGACGAAATATTTTCAAAATTGTCTGGAAATACAGTGTTTTCGTCATTGGACTTATCCTGAGCTTATTTGCAGGTCAGATTATCTGAAGAGGCCAAAAGAGTGGTGAACATTAATACTACGAAGGGGTTATTTGCCTTTAAAAAGGCTACCCTATGGAGTAGCTGTAGCACCAAATAAGTTCCAAAGAGAAATGGACAATCTATTTGCAGATATGTCGGGAGTGGCTTGCTACATCGATGACATCCTGGTAGCCGGAAAGGATCATAGGGATCACGAGAAAAACTGGAATTGGTCTTTAAAAGGCTGCAAGAAAAAGGTTTAAGATTAAACAAGGATAAATGCAAATTCGCAGTAAATGCTGTTGAATATTTAGGTTTTAAAATAGATAAAAAAGGACTGCATCCCATAAGTAGTAAAATAGAAGCGGTGGTAGAGGCGCCTGAACCTACAAACGTTTCTCAATTGAGATCTTTTATAGGTCTCCTTATGTATTACTCTAGGTTTATAAGAAATATTGCAGATATTTTAGCGCCCTTCTATCACCTCTTAAAAAAGAATTCAAAATGGAACTGTACTGGCGAACACCGTATATTATTTGCAAAATGCAAAGCATTACTAACTAACGAGTCGGTTCTGGCACATTATGATGCAACTAGGGAACTAGTCCTTGCATGTGACACCTCTAGCTATGGTTTAGGAGTGGTTCTGAGTCACAGGAACGATAGAAAGGAAGAAACTCCTATAGCTTTTGCTTCAAGAACGCTAACTGAAGCGGAAAGGCGGTATTCCCAATTAGAAAAAGAAGCCTTGAGCATTATTTTTGGTTGTGAGAAATTCCGACAATATCTATTGGGACGTGAATTTGTGTTGACCACAGACAACCGACCTTTAATGCACATTTTTTCACCCCAGAAACCGATCCCCAAATGTGCTGCATCAAGAATTAAGAGGTGGTCTTTAAAATTATCTGCATTTAAATACACTGTGGAGTTTCGAAAAACTGATGATAATGGCAATGCAGACGCGTTATCACGATTACCTTTAGTCTCAAAAACCACGGAATCTTTAGATGAGTATCAGGTGCTTCTCCTTCGGAAAATGAGTGAGGTCCCCTTCTCATTCCAGGATGTGGCAGTTGAGACACGCCGGGATAAATTACTATCAATAGTGTTGAGAGATGTTAGGGAAAATAATTGGCAAATTCCAAAGGTATCGCAGGAAAATCCACTTTATTCCTATTATAGGATAAAAGACGAATTAAGTTGTGAGTTTGGGTGTCTGCAATGGCGTGAAAGAGTGGTAATTCCCCAGAAATTAAGATCCTTAATTTTGAACGATTTACATGAGATGCACCTAGGGATGGTGAAAATGAAAATGATTGCTAGACGGTATTTTTGGTGGCCAGGCATAGATAAGAACATTGAAGAGTTGGCTAGAGATTGTAGAATTTGCCAAGAATCTGCAAGTATGCCGCCGTCTACCATTTCAGAGTGGACTTGGCCTGAGAAGCCGTGGCACCGTCTACACTTAGATCTAGCAGGTCCCTTTATGGGACGAATGTTTATGGTCCTTGTAGACGCGTACACCAAATGGCTGGAGATTGTCATCATAAAGGACATTACGAGCAGGACCATCATAGGACATCTTAGGGAGATCTTTGCCAGATTTGGATTACCTGAACTTTTGGTAACCGATAATGGCAGACAATTTGTCTCAAGTGAATTTGAGGAATTTACAAAAATAAATAGTATAAGACACACAAAAACGAATCCGTACAATCCCAGCACTAATGGCTTAGCTGAGCGATATGTACGTGAATTTAAAAACTCTTTACGAAAGAACCAAGGAAAGGACAGTGTAGAAATCAATCTACAGCGATTTTTATTTGCCCATAGAGCTTTTCCTCAAACGGTATTAAAGGAGTCTCCCGCGGAACTTTTAATGAAAATAAATCTAAGATCAAGATTTTCAAATTTGATTCCGAAAATGGCGAAGATAGGAGAGGTGTACCATGATGCCATGAGGAAGCAAAAGCATTTTGCGGTCGGCTCTGATGTGTATTTTCGGAGTTTTGCTAACGGACCAAAATGGAAAAGGGGCAGGATCATGGAACTACTGAGCATCCGACATTACCTTATAGAAGACGAAGGCCGTTATGTGAAAAGACACATAAATCAACTAAGGCCAGTTATCAAGAAAGAAGTTCCTGAAGTGAGAGATTTGGTATTGCCGGGTACATCAAGAGATTTTATACTGCCTGGCACTTCTCGAGATCACCCTGGGCTTGGAGGACAGGAGAAGACAAGGGAAGAAGCCCCGGAGGTGGACGAAGAATTGAAAGGAGCGGAGTCTTCAGCACAAGAGGACACTCCAGAACCAGAACCGGGCCCTGCTGCTGCGGCTGTCCCTGTCCCTGTGCGCAGTCCAAGACCGCAGCGATCCAGAAGACCGCCAGAACCAGAACCGGGCCCTGCGGCTGTCTCTGTCCCTGTGCGCAGTCCAAGACCGCAGCGATCCAGAAGACCGCCAGACCGGCTGCACTACTATTAAGAGGGGAGATGTGTTGTGTATGTAAATTGTTAAATATCTGTATGTATTTTGCATGTTTTTTTATTATTAATATGTAAATATATATTTGTATATATAGGACATTAACGGTGCAATTAAACAGAAATTGACCAGTAAATATAGGCTGCGTGTCGTGACTATTACTGGGAGGCGACACAACAGTAATCTCTATATATATAAAAGTCAATTTCTGTCTGTCTGTCTGTTTCGCGATAAACTCAAAAACTACTGAACCAATTGGTACCAAATTTTGCATGTCGCTTTTTATAAACCTGAGGAAAATTTTCGGCTGCATTTTGATTAGTATTTTTGGCTATTTCTTTTTTTCATTTGAAGAACTTTTTTTTTACGCGGACTAATCCGGAATGGAATGAATACCTAAATATGGCCATTTTTTTAAAGCATCGGTGGTTCAGTGGTTAGAATGCTTGCCTGCCACGCGGGCGGCCAGGGTTCGATTCCCGGCCGATGCATTTTTTTAAACAATTTTTAAAACTCATTTATATTATATCTTCTATATATATATAAATGAATGTTTGTATGTTTGTTTGTTTGTTTGTTGGTTTGTATGTCCGGTATACAAATTCGCAGTAGTTCACTAATTCAAACCAAAATTTCCATACATAGGTAAAAAAATACGGGAAAGACGATAGGCTATTTTAAAAAATATATATAAATCAATTATTCAAAACTATATATTATTAGTCAGAAAATGATGACGATATTGCTGTATCATGTAAGATTATCAGATACAAAATTATATCGGGAAAAATTCCAAAAAGCAGAGACCACGGGTGAAACCAGCTCATTATTTTGTACGCAGGAACAAAATTCTAACAGAAAAACATTCATTCGAGCAGAAAACAAAAGTCAGATAATCTTTCTATAAAAATATCGCTTCTCAGACACAAAGTTTGGAACGGGACGTTTCACAAGAGTGACATCCACGCCGCCAATTTATAATTGTAACGAATAGTATTTAAATAAAAACATTTAATCGGGTAAAACCCGGGCGTTGCCCGGGTCATTCGGCTAGCATATAATAAGTGTAAAATATTATAATAGGAATATATATACCTAGCTGAAAATAAATTTTAATCAAATTACCTCTAAGATATTAATAGAATATTTTAAACATTTTAAATAAATTTACAAAAAAAAAACCGTTAGAATTAGTTTTTTTTTATAATGCAGTATCATGGTAAACGGTTTGCGGATTTCGACAAATTAGAAAAAAGGAATCATATATCATTTGTACCATATTACATTTGAAGTTAGGATCAGACATGACGTGGCCACGCGGTGCTATTGAACGAGGGCGATAGGGGCGTGGTAAATTTCTTTTTCATTTATTTTGTTTTCATATTAAAAACGATATATAATCTCTCTTTGTTTGTACAATATAATTAGCTGAAGAAGGGCTTGCCCGGAAGCTTCCTTAACCGCTATAATAATAAAAAAAAAGAGTTGCGGCGATATATGATTCCTTTTTTCTAATGCAGTATCAGTCAATAAATACCTTTTGAAATATACCTTTAGACTTAAAAACAGATTGTCCTGAGAAAATTATGTACAGGTTTTAGATACTAGAATGAGCAGATAGTTAAAGAAAGGTTATGAAAGTATTTTTAAAAAAGTACTCTTCAAATTTATACTTTCATAACCTTTCCTTAACTATCTGCTCACTACAGTATCTATAACCTGTACATATCCGGGACTCACCTCTTTACTTGCTTACTTACCAGACCCACCTTTTCACTGAACCATCTTAAGATGAGCCCGGAAAAGTCCCCAGATGGACTTGAGCGGGCGATGTAAGTGTAACCCGTCCACATTTTGGGCGGATTACAATTATTTTATTTCCAAAGCGCTATATCCCGCAAGGGATACTTGCGCCAAACAAATAGAAAAGTTTATTTACATAAGTTATTTACATTATTCAACGCATGAAAACATTAGAGATCCAGATTTTGTAGAAAGTTTAGAATGTATTTACAAAATGAATTGAACTTTAAATATGATTTTTTATCGGAAATCAAATCGTTAAGTTCACAAACAACTAGTAATATTATGATTTTAGTTTTTTAAAATCTTTTTAACTTATCTGAAGGTTATTTTGAATAAAAAATTTAAAAATTTTGATTTTTACCTCAAAAAGACAGGAAATTTTTATGCTTTGTTTAGAAATTGCTGGTTTTGAATCTTTTGTTATTAATCTCAATCTAGATTTTTTTTCAGAATATGCCATACAGTTTATTTATTATCTTTTCTACATATATGGGTTGTATCTGAAAAATAGGTTATTTATATTTTTAAATAAGCAAGGGATTTCTTTTACGGATTCATTTATTTGTCTTTTTGAAGTCCTTTTTCAAAATTTTTTTAAAGATATTTTAATTTATTTGATTAAATATTTTTAATTTAGATTATTTATAGTTTTTTAACATATAGGGGTTGTATTTTGTATTTTAGAAAATTGTTTTTATTTTTTAGCTCAAAAAAGCATGCTTTTTCATTGCCGTATCCAGCGGTTGGTCTATTTTTGAAGCTTTTTAATGATAACTGGTTTTGTAGATTAATTTTTCGGTAATATAATATTATGATTTTAGTTTTTTTAAATCTTTTTAACATATCTGAAGGTTATTTTGAATAAAAAATTTAAAAATTTGATTTTTACCTCAAAAAGACAGGAAATTTTTATGCTTTGTTTAGAAATTGCTGGTTTTGAAGCTTTTGTTATTAATCTCAATCTAAATTTTTTTTCAGAATATGCCTCGCCACAGCCGACGTTTACTTGGTAGGAATACGGCTGGATCCAGGAGATATAGGAATGCTAGAGCTATTGAGACACCACTTCAAAGTGAGACGCGTCGTGCGCTTCGCCGTCTTAGGTTTTCTGAAGCCCGCGTCGCAGCTACACAAACTATGCAAGTTCCTGTTCAGCGTATCCAGCTTTGGACTCATAAGCCTTTTTCAGGTTTGCAGTATAATGCCCATATTGATATAAAGCTGATTCATCTGTCGATTGAGGCCAAATGTCTCGGGTATGCCAAACTTAAAACTATATATTCAAATTATTCTACTTAGCTCACGAACAGCGCCCTCTATCAAAGATTAGATTAAATTAGGCTGATGCAAACAAATAGATAATGCTAATAACAAACATTATAAAAAAAATCTTATCTGAATATATATCACTCGGGTAGATATGCACACGGGTCAATCCCGGGGCGAAGCCCGGGTCCCCCGTCTAGTATGTAATATTTCTAAGTAGTGTTTTTTTTCTATAATTATCAAAACGATTCTTTATTTATTTAATCACGTATAAATATATATTTTTGAATTTTCTAGTCAAAATGTATTTTAATAAGTAACAAAAATACAATTTCTACACACACTGTCTATAATATTTCTGAATCTATTTCCTCTCACACAAATCAACAGTAAAAAAATATACCCTTCGAAAGGGGATAATTCACTAGACACTTTGTTATGAAATTTAGATTTCTTTAATTCTGAAAAGTGGCCTTCAAAACTTAAAAACTCAGGTATTTTATATTTTGGGTTTAGGTCAAAATCGGAAATATCTTTATTTACGGGGCTGCTAACCAAAAGGAATGATTTTTGAGCCCCGATAGAAAGGTCAAAATTACTAAATTGACCAAAACCAATTTGACCAAATATGTCAAAATCAAGTTGTAATAACTTTTTGATTTGAATTTATATTTTGAAAGTTTAGAAAATGATTTCTGGGTAATTCTTGTGCGCGCATTTCTTCATTATCGGACTAATAGAATCTTTTGTAAAAATTACATTTGAAATATTAAATGGGGGCTTTACAAATATTTTTGAAAATATTCTCATGAATGCATTTATTAATTGCCTCTATCAGATAAGGTTTTATACTTGAGTCATGAGGGGGGGCAAAGCGTTTCTCACTATTGAAAGAATATATATAGGTTCCTTATAAAATATATTTCTAGCTGATTGATAAAAGGCTATTTAAACTACACAAATTAGATATAAAGAGAGAGGGTTTTATTATATTTTTATTTTCTAATATATTTCCATGAGAGTGACGAATTCCATCTTGGTATCAAAAGTGACTCCTAAATACACTACGTGGCACTGAATTTGGAACACCAAAAATCAGTTGGCAAAAGGTTGTGAAAATCTGAATGAAGAGAGTACCAGTAACGAACAATAAATTATCTCAATTAGAACAGAATACACCTATACACTAAGCGATATCATCCGCGGACGGTTATGCAGGTAGCAAAACATCTTGGTACTGACTCAATGGTGTCCTGAAGAATGGCTGCCCATTCCTTGTCAACCATCAGCCACAGTTCATCTTCTGAACGCGGCTGTGACAGCACACGCAAACGACGTTCAAATAGATCCAGACGTATTCTAGATCTGAAAGATCAAAGAGATACTAGTAGTCATGAAAGAACCGAGTCTCCATGCAGGGCTTGTTGGCTGATGCGGGTTGTGTGAGGTCAGGTGTTATCCTGCTAAATATATGTACATATATATGTACATCGATATAATGGGAATTATAGAAAGAAGGCTGGGGGTAGACTATGAATATATTTAAAACATTTTAATATTAACATTTTGTATATAATACGAGTATGTATAATAATAAATTTATCAGAAAGAGATAAATCTTTCCTTTTTTATTGGAGTAATAATATATATAAACATCTAAAATATTTATATATTATATTCTTTATGTATTTTAATATTTATTAGTATATCCCTTTCATTGGCTTAAGTATTAATACATAAAATATTCCATAAAATATATCATTTATATTTATTTATATGATAGTCGGAAAGTATAAAACGGAGTTTTTACTCGATAAGTACTTCCGAATTCTTTCCAAAGACAAAAACAAAATAAATATATAAAAAACTATTTTAAAGAAGAATAAATATAATATATATAAAGAATCCTGTAAATAAAAAAAATATGTTGCAATAGCGGGCCATCTGTTATCAAAATTCAAAACTATTTTAAAGGCGTAAGATTCTTTTTGATATTAAACAATTTCTACTGCCCTTACTGCAATGGAAAAATTAATGAGAGGGCTTGGCTCATCAGTGGTGAACCCTCTCAGCGGTTTCGCCAGTTTAATCTACCATACCGCTGTTATATTGCATTTTTAGAGAGAGAAACTATCCTCGTCCGCTGTAAGTCCCTGGGGGACTTTTTCGGACAAAAACGACTGGACGACACAGGCAAACGGCCCGCAGCTTCAGGAAGGGCGCGCCTCTTGCGAGGGAACCAAGGCAGCACCAAGTACAACTAAGGCTCCGTAGGCTTCAAAAATAGGGGATCATCAGA